CGAGTGAAATAAACACTGCAAGTCGAGCACCCGGTTCTGAACCCGGCTTTCAGAGGTGGTGCCCATCGAGGACTTATCCTAGAAAGGGACAGAACACACAGGTCCCGGGAAACACTGCAAAGAAAGCTAGCAGAAGGGTTATACACAACACAATATATATATATTTAGAAATGGATAGTACTCACCCACCATGGTTCCCGCGTCGGAGCTCCGTCCGGAGAAGCCTCTCGACTGGACCATCAGTAACGTTGGTTACTATGAAGCCATAGAACCAACCAAAAACATCATAGGTCCAGTAGGAGACTGTTATGCAGGAAGTTTCCACCTAACCTCGGTCAGGTGGAGAGATGGTGGTTACAGGGGAATTTGGGGAGGGAAAGATCTGTCACTACCATTGCCGCCATGGATCTGCCCATAGCAGAGGCGGCCTGCTTAGTAGCACGGAGAGCGAGATCCGTGGTGCGGCGCAACTCAGCTACCTCATCAGGAGAAAGGCCCTCGCCTTTATCCAGGTCTTTCAGCAGGTCAGCCTGGTATGCCTGGAGCACCGCCATCGTGTGCAACGAAGCGACAGCCTGACCTGCTGCTGCGTATGATCTGCCATTCAAGTGAGATGTAATCTGAAGGGGCTTGGATGGCAAGGAGGAAGTTTTGAGAGAAGCTGTCTCACCCATAGAGAGATAGCTGGCTAGCGTCTCTTCTACCGGGGGCATCCTCTCATAGCCGTTTTCGCGCATCGCCTCGATGTTGGCATAACTGGTATGCTGGAACCGATGGATGCGTGAGGAAAACGGCCTCTTCCATTCCTTCTCGATCTCAGTATGGAGATCAGGAAGGAAAGGAAGGCTCACCTGAGCTGGAGGGCTATGGCCAGAAAGATAACGTTCATCGAGACGACCTCACGACGTCACTTCCTTAGTCCGCTTCCACGGTAAGTCAAGCCTTGCCGTGGCGCGATCCATAACCTCTAAGAGCTCATCATACGCAGGGCAGGAGGATTGAGAAGGCTCAGCCTCAGCTTCTTCGCTCTCTTCATCCATTTCCTGCTCTTCCTGGGCTGGACCCAGCAGAGCACTGGCGGTCAGTGAAGACGAAGAAGAGAATGATGTGTGCTCCCGGCGCCTATTTATACTGTAGTCGCACCGGTAGTGACGTCATGGCTGTCGCCGGCCAACGAGTTGGTGTTTTTTCAATGTATGCTTCAGACACGGGTCACGACGAGGCGTTCCCCATAACGACCCCTAGAGGACGCAGTTCGAAGTTCCCATGAAAGGGAAATCTTCTTTTGTGTTCAGCACAAGAAAGAAATCAATACAGGTTTGGGACAACATGAGAGTGAGTAAATAATGACAAGCAGCAGCATGTTTAGTATTAGTCTGCTGTCACTTTAGGACCTGCATGCATCCATTCTTCTCTCAACTGTTTCCTTTCACTTTAGACATAACCAACTGTGTTTTTATGTAAACCTTGTGTGTTCTTGAAATGAAATGTTTAACCGGCAAGGCTTTAAAGCACATGCAAATAATGTACTTTTGTGATTGTGAAGTGCAGTGTCCTGTGAGTGTAACTCTACCATTGAGGTAACATTTGATGTGAATATACATTGCGTTGTACAGTATATTTAGACAGAGGCACCAGAACTTCTTCAAAAGCAGATATTGAAAACATTTTAATCATCCACGATCAAAAATCATGATATCGAACACCCCTACGTTTCAAAACAGTTATGATGGAACAAATCCTCATTTACAAAAATCACATGACTTTGGCAGTTTGATACACACTCTGAATCACTGGTTCCAAACTAATGGTTTGCAAAGGTTTCAAAGCTTCACATAGCAGTGCTGGAAAACCTTTGAGATTGTCTTCTTGTTTTGTTTAATAAATATTTACGCCTCAACTCTTTCCCTGCACTACGTGACACAATTGTGCCTTTAGAAATCCTGTTTGTTGTATTATACTCAATGTTAATCTGACCACAATCCTCCCACACCCTCAGAATATATATTATACATTCCCATCTGTCAGAGCTAGTGTGTGTGCAACCTTAAAAGATGAAATAAAATTTACATTCTATTTAATACTGTTCATATTTAGTTATCTAAAACGTAAAAAGTTGTAATATCATTATAACCATGAGTGTTTCTTGGTCTCTTACAGAATGACCGTGTGTTGGACTGGTGTGAGGACCACAGGAGATGTTCACAGGTAAGATGTGTTTTCAGATTAATGAGCTTGACATTATTCATTGAGCTCACAGCATCTCACACTGCCTCAGCGCTGTTCACAGGTAAGATGTGTTTTCAGATTAATGAGCTTGACATTATTCATTGAGCTCACAGCATCTCACACTGCCTCAGCGCTGCTAAATAAAACTCTGTTCAAATGTAATTTCCTTTTATTACAAGGAAATGGCCAAAGGTTAATGCCTTTATACAAACCACATGCCCTGTACCTACACTACACTCACTCATGTCTAATGGCTTCTGGAAACCCAATATAAACAGCACTGAGAGCCGCTGTTGTACCCAGGGCAATTTTTGGCCTTATTACAGCTCTTTCCTTCCACCAGATTATGGTCATTTTAGGGTTTAGTACTTTATAGGAGAAAAAGAGATAGCATTTTAATATTTTGGTGTTCCTTACACTTCCATTTTCTGAATATAGATTGAATTCATGATATTTAATATATTACTGAGCACAAATACAAAAAAAATCGTAATCTTTCATCAAAATATAATAACATGCTCCATCGCAGAAACATATTTTTAGCTGATATCACTAAGTTGACTTATTTTGTAACTCCTTCCCCTCCATCCATCTGTCATATAGAGATCACTTTTCACTATCCAATAAGTTCCCAGTGGATAAAATCACTGTCACATTACAAAAGTTATGTGTTGTGAACATGTTTCATGTTGACTTTAAGACCACGTTAGTTTTTCCTAATTGGTTTACCCCATGGGAAATAAATAAGGACAGGTTAGGGGTAATGCAATAAGCATTTACAGCACATATTCAACCGTCTCATGGGAAAACGTGTCTATACTAACATTTTTGCAAAACTCCAAAAAATGTACCGATACCCCTAGTGAAAAATAAATATACTATTTATTACTAAATATATTACTTTTTTACAAGAGACATACAACTCCCTGTAGTGAAATGATTACTATAGTGCCAGTAAAGCACCTACAACTTTTCTTCCTTTTCATACAAATTATAATGATGTGGGCAAGATTATCAATTAATTTCTTATTTTTGCGCAGTCCATATGTTGTTATGACCTCCAAACAATTTTACCACAGTGCATTATTTGTAAACTAATACATTTTGGCATTTGCATCACATAACCAGCTCCACATATATGGCTTTTCTGATGCAGTAAACTTACTCAATAGCTCACCCGGTACAGGATTGCACTTGCTTGGGTACGAGTCCAGTGAAACATGAGCTACGATAAAAGCACTCAAAAACTTATAGAAGCACAGTTGCTTCAGCAAATGCATTTTTATTTCACATTTGCTTTTGTTAACACTATCAGTTAAGTTTAAGGTAGGGTTTAGTGTAGGTGCTATGTTATTATCAAATGCAACAGAGCACTGCCCGATTGAAGTTTGTCTATTTTGAATAAAATTGAACTCGCTTTAGAGCCACTCACTGGACATTTCTCCTTGAAAGTATTGCGAAATGTGCAAGAAGCAACATAATACTTTGCTGAAATGGTGTATTTTTCCAGTGAGTGTGGGTTGGAAATATTAGCAATGTTACTATTAACCCAGACCTCGCACAATACAGTAGCGGTTTTAACCTTTTCGAATGAATTTGTGTTGCAAGATCTTTTAAATGGCGCTTTCCACAGTTTCATTCAAACTGTCCCAGTTGTGGTTTAATCTGGCTCTCAAATACCGTGTTAGATCAGAGGAACTGAGACTGAAGCGGACCATGAAGAAAACCCAAGACCAATTCTTTTTTAAGAATAGTGATATGCAACTGTAATTGCCCTTCGATAAGCTAGTAAACATGGTTAGCTCATTAATGGTAATTTCCTCAACCCAGACATCTCTGGCTGCTGTCCGCCAATCACCAACCACCGCTCACCCTGAGGGCCAGAGCTTTAAAATCCCTGAATGAAAAAGAGCAAAAACATTCCTCGTGGAAGCCGTATTTCTCACACCAAGCGTTTAAGCCGTTCTAATTGCTTTCAGATGGAAGTAATCCACCGTCAGCCCTTCCAATAACAGGTAAAGTAAATGTTGTGTTTCTTATGAAAATAAGCTGTGTTCACATCCTCCTGGGCTGAGCTGCGTCTCTAAAAGTGCACTTGAAATTAGCTTCTGTTTATTCGTTTAAAGTCCAGGCCAGGAAGACGCTATTTTTTCTTTTTCTTGTAATGTCTTGTTTGCTTGTGAAGGACTTTCTACGTCTCAAATATTTTGTTTGTATATTTTGAGTGCATGATCAGTTGATCTGCTAAACTGAGTGCACCGCAAATCTCCTCCTATCCCTTACAAAAAATGTGTTTTACTCAAGTGTGCTCTTATTATACTTATTCTAAACAAAAAAATAAGATGGTATACATTCGGTCCACTATTTATGTGCTTTACAGTGCTTGTATACTTTATACAAAATTCATACAAAATCATACTTAAGTATACTTGGTTTACACTAACAAGTATACAGAATAATCTAAGAATATTTGGACTATAAAAAATGTATAACTTAGTACTCTAAATATACTTTGTATATTTTAAATATCTACTGCTGTTACACTTTAAGTACACCAATTTTATAAAAAACTGAAAAAGTGGGACAACTTAGTCCCAAGAAGTTTGTGAAAATAGTACATTTATAAGTATACTACTAGTACATTAATTTTAGTATACATACTACATGAAATACTTTTGGAAAATATACTTGAAATTTACTCAAGGCAAGACACTACAGGCAAAACCATAGTTTTTAAGTCAGTTTTGAGATTTTAGACTAGTTTGACTAGTGGAAAGAAAACGTACAAAATATACATTTATGTTATTACACTTTTTGCATCTGTAGATGTCAATTAGACAGTACATGTATTTACAGGCCACTTCTCAAAATTAGTTTCTCATGCACTTCAGAACTTACACACACCACACTTTACAGTTTTAATTCCTGTTCATAGTATATAGGTTTTTGTTTATATATCATTCACCTGATTTATTTAACATTATTCCTCAAACATGGTGAATTTTTTTTCTTACTGTTAACAGTATTTTCTGATTTATGATGATAAAATGATAAGAAGAAATATCCAGAATCCCCTCCGTAAAAACCTTTCACTCTGATATGTCAACAAAATGAAACACCTTGGCTTTGTCCAATATTCAGATTTCTGTTCTGGAAATGCATTTTTAATTAGATTATGCCTCATTTGCATATTCAAATGTAACATTTCAGAAAACTTGTAATATAAAATTCAATGTGTTAATGTACTGTGATTTTGAATTGAATTATTCACATGTTGTGTCTTGCCTTAAGTTCAATTAATAGAATGAAGTATACTTTTTTTTTGAAAGGAGTATCCCCAAATGCACAAGCTACAGCTAAACAGCATCTGAAATGAGCAGAGGCCAGTGTTAGGAGCTTGATCAGGGCGTCACCCCAGCACTTGTCCGGTCTTATCCGTCACGCTTGACCCTGGGTGAACGGGAAAGCTGTCAGATGTTTCACTGTGGAAACACACGCAGTTTACTACGCCTCTGGAGGTTAACCCCACTGAAGCCACTCTCTCTTCTCTTAAGTAAAGCTTAGAAGCAGATGGAGACATGTGCCCTGCTGGGGTTGACCCGGGCTGGGCTGGGGCGCAAGCTTTGGACCCTGATCAGCAGGAGGGTCATGAGGAGCAGCACACAAGGGTCACTCTGTGTGTGGCCGGCTGAGCTTGTGCTGAAGCCATGAGGGCACTGACGGCCACTGCTGACTCAGCAGCTTCCCGCTTTAAGGGGCGTACTGTTTTGAGATTTTGGGAGTTCATTACGTTTAACAGTTCCTGGAAGTTTCACAGAAGGACTTATTCCAGCTTTGTTTGCAACTGTGATTTTGGAGGTTTAAAATGAGTCTCATTAGGTACTGTATCTAAAAGCAGTAATATTATATGTTGTTTCTCATGCTGATAAATTAGCCTAGTAGCGTTCTTATCACAGTCACCAAGCCTCAAAATACTGGCGGTTCCACAGCACTCTTTTCAGGGTTGCCAGATCTAAACCAGCCCATTGTCAATCAAAACTAGCCAAAAACTAGTCCACTGACCAATGAAAACAGCCCAAAAATTAACCCAAATACCACAACCATGCCACTCCCATACCTAAAATACATATTTTACAATCACTGTTCTGCATTACACACAATTTCAGCTTGAAAATCACTGAATAGTAGTAATCATAAACAGTCTGTTATCATAAATCATCTGTCATTAAGGTTAACAGTTTTTGCAATAGCATTAAATTATAAGAAAAAACGTACAATGTTTATATATTTATATATATGCTTAACACAATACGTGTTCCTTGCAAAACAACTCTGCTGCATATCAAGAAATTACCCGAGGAGCACTGTTTGTGTGCATTGTTGGTGCCAAAGTTCACTTTATTCAGACATTTATATAACGCCTGTTACACTGGGGGAAAAAATGGTGTAGAGATCTTCACACAGTACTTGGTAGTAAATTTCACAAATAATTACAAAGAAATGGCAAGTAACACATTGAATTAAATGTGTTACTTGTAAATCAAATTCTGAAGTAGAAAGACTGAAATCGTTTTTCCTTTAAAACATACTCCAATAATCTTGAAATGAAAATCATGTTTAGTTGTTTCAGTTGTTACATCAAACGGATTACATTTGGTATGTGAGTGACACAGAGAGGGTAGTTATTCAGTTTTGGGAAAATTCTAGGAAAATAGCTTGTGTTTAACTAGACAACAAAGTAAAGAATTTTGCCAAAATATATTAATGTATATCTTTTATTGTACCATAATTATATTTGTGTTATTTGTAATATATTTTCACTTTCACACACACAAATTTATTTTTATTTGCTATTAAGAATTATAATATTAAGGAAAAACAATGTGTATGTATATACATATATATATATATATATATATATATGTGTGTGTGTGTGTGTGTGTGTGTTTAAAATATGTAAAAAAATAAATTTAAAAATT